GCTAGGTTAAAGGAGGCTCACCAAGTCCACCCAGCTTTTAGGTGGGTGCTGGGGATTTGAACTTCAGTTCTCGAGCTCAGCAAGTACTTTGTACACTGAGCAAACCCCAAACCCCTGTGTATAGTATTCTTAAGGCTGATGAGTATCAAATTCAATTTAATAATTTAAATATAGGTAGTGCCTTAGAGATGAAAGACATATTAATAATCTATTAGCAAAATAACTAAATAAAGATAAGTCAACAGAGCTAGACAAACTACACATGTAATCACTGCAGTAACACATTAATGACAAAATCCTTCTTGTTTATACATACTTCTTTTTAATATTTGGATTTATGTCCAATATTAAGTGGAATATTGGAAGGACATGTGTTGCTCTGACCAAGTACTATTTATGTTTTCTCCTGCTCTTTGTTCATCTTGGCACAAGCCAAAAACAATCTATTATACAAAGAGTTACTGGCATGAATGTGGCTTCTATTATGTATTCAACCCCAGAGTACTTATACTGCTTCACACAAAAATTCTTCCCCATTTCCCTACAGACATTTTTTTTTTTTTTTTTTTATCGTACTTGGCCAGACTTGTTACTCTTTATTATCCAGAGAAAAATACCAGAATTATTGGAGTCTGCCATAGGGACCCAAACTGCATTGTTACCTGAAAAAAAGAACCCCATGCTCATTCATTTGATTTACTGCAAGATAAATCCAACCAACCCCCTAGGTATCTCTCAGATCAGACACATGCTATAAAGTGTCTACTTATCATATTGTAGCAATGTGCTTTTATTGCTCTAGGCATAAAATAAAAACAGCCATGCTATTACACTTGATCCGTGTCCATGGGATGATCATGTTAGTGGGTGGCTGCAGTTCTGGGTTCGAGAATGACAAATCAAACTCTACAAAGTCCAGCTTACATTCACAATGAATCAAGTCAGAGCTCATTTCTTCTGTCACTTTCATGAGAGAAGCGCTCTTAATGAGGCAACCATCTATCGGTAAAGCAAATGCCAAAACAGGAAATGAAAACAGAGGAGAAGAGAAAGTTTGCTGAAAGAACGTCAGTGTACAGCAGATGTGTGGACCCGCTTAAGTACTTGTCTCCTTTCCACGCCAGCTGTGACAAGAACACAATACAACCGAAAGGACAGAATCCAACCGCAGTCATTTTCCTTAGCAAAGCAAAGGTAACAGTGACTTCCTTCCTTCCTAACCCGTCTGAAGGTGACCTTTCACTGGGGATAGCATGATCTCATTCAAAATCCATTCTGTTCTAGTCCCAAACTCAAAATTCCCTCGGTCCGCACTGCTTGTCACCCCCTCTGTAGCATTCACCACCTCTAGTAGCTATGTTCCGTTACTATGAATAGATTTTTGGTTCATCATTGGAATACAGATGGCTTGAGGAAGAATGCTCCTGTTGTATGTAACCTAGAGAAGTTGGTGCTCAGACGACGCCTGCTTACTAAAAGCCAGTTCAATGAAAAGAACTGTGTCTTATGCCAGAAATGAATCCCAAGTATAAATATTTAAGATAGACTATAGGCATAAGAAGCCAACTGTGATTCTAATAAAGATCGTATTTGTCTCCTCTACATAGGATTATACTTTGAAGCCCACCACACACTCATAAATTTGATTGTGACTTTCAGTTTTAGAGTATCACATGGGCTCCTCCAGAGCAGACCCTACAAGGTTTCCACCACGGTCCAACAACAGCAGCGGAACTTCTATCATTCGCGGCCAGCTCTGAATGTGCATGTTCTACTCTGCTCAGTGCAGCTGCACCACTGCCTTCGTTCTGTGGGAAAATGGTGACATTCTTGTAAATGTCCATTTAGTCAAAGCACCTTTGCATAGTGGTCTTCAGGCAACATGTATGGTTCAGCCCAAAGGAGGACCAAACAGTACTTACTGCTTACGTTGTAAATGTGAAATATACAGAGATTTATTGTTAGTTTCCTCCCTATGCCGAATAACCAGACAGAACAAGTCACAGGTTGTCTGAATATCCACAAGATGAATTTCTGCCCTTGCTCTGGCTGGCCACAAAAAAGGGCTTTCGTGGCTTTTTTTTTTTTTTTTTAAGCACTGCAGCTCTGCTTTTCCCACAAGCCCACATACATCATTTGACTTTATTACTTTTGAAAAAGATCAGGTTTTACTAAAGATGAATTATGATACACTATATAAGACAACATGTTAAATGCCCCAGGATTTAATTTAACACTTTTTAAGAAATATTTTTAAAGGTGAAAGGAACCTAACAGAATCATCACTGAGATATCAACGACTAAACTGTGGCCCAGGAATAATGTGTGTACCCACAGAAGAGAAAATCAAGTATTTCTGACCAAGTCTTACAGGTCTCTGATGCCACACTTCTGAATGGCACCAAATTGGTTTAATTCTAAGGTCTTCAACACAGGGTCTAAGATTACCACATCATAACACTATTGAGAGAAAACACCCTCAGCTCAGGCTATTACTATCCATGGCTTTGACATGCACATGTCAAAGAAGTCAAGAAAGTATGTCTTCAGCATGCAACCATGAAAGAAAACAGTTAACTCAGGACAACATAAAATTTCCAAAGCGTACATCCATTACCCAATATTACCCAAGTGCTTCTTCTTTCTGATGATCAGCTGCTAAATAGTCTAACAACATCACCCAAATGCTGAGGCTCAAAATCAGCAGGAATCTAAGACTATAACACTTCATGCTAATTTGAAAATATTTCAGAGAATCTGTAGGAATGGCTTTTTACTCAGTCTGTAGCAGCAGCTTTCAGGAGCAGGTCCTTTGCTAGACTAGCAAAGCTCTTAGCACCTCTGCATCTCAGAGAGGAAACTGAGGCAGAATGTTAGGGTGCTCCCAGAGGCTCCTTTCTTCCTTCTTTTGCTCTCTGTTGCTGAGATAAACATTTCCCTTCCTCCACATGCTCTTGCCATGATGCACTCTCTCCCGCAGGCCCAAAGCCACATGAAATTCATTAATTTATAGTTCAGATGGAGCATATGGCAGAAGGTCATTTTACATAGTGTTTTGAGGCACCTGTACTAGGACTCTGATCTGTTACCTGGGGAGGGGGCAGCTATGAGGTTTCCCACTGTGGCACTATCTTGGAGATGAAGACTATGAGCCAAGTGAACCTTTTCCCTTTATTAGCTAACTATCTCAAGTAGAGGCTTTGCTGACAGAAGGTTAACATGGCCTCCTTCAGCTGGTTCATCCTCTCCTAAGGTAAGTCCAAGATGGCGAACTCTATCATGGATGTACAAGTCTCTCTCGCACAAGTTCCCTATTCCTCTGAAGGAGCCTAGGGGTTGGCTACTTCTTATTCATAACCATCAACCATCTTCAAGACCTCTACCTACACCGTGACTTTCCTCATTCTCCTCTGGCTTACCATACAGATTCATGGCATACCCAACTATCTATTGTCCCTGAGGCCTGAAGAGAGGGCCTTATGGTCAGTGCTTAGAAGAGAAGAAAAATGGCAGTTTCTTCTTCCTCCTTTTAGTCTCCAAGTGAAGACCAAAGCTATGACAGCATGGTAACTCCAAGAGTAAGGCTCACCTGGAAGGAAGGAGAACCATGAACTCTGTCACACCGTTCTTCCCCTTTTACCACAGCGCATGGCTCCTGGATCTGAACAGGAGAGCTGATGGGGATGGAGGGGTGTGTCTAGGATACATACTAAGGGGAGGAGAGACAGAAGGGACAATGGGGCCAGAAGATGGGGCAAAGAGGTCTCAAGTAGCCTCCTTTCAGGACCAAAGGATTCAGCCATGCCCTCTGGATGCTGTGTGGACTGGAATCTGGAGTGTTAGGAGCACTTGTGGGAAACAGTAACATGCACAAAACTCTCCTTTCAAGTGTGGTCAGAGCTATAGAAAGGTAGGTCTCACTAAGAATGGAAAGTGTGAATTCCCTTTAAATATGCAATTTTGTATTTCTGAACAATGCAAACAATTTCAATATCTGCCAGGTCAGTGATCAACTCCAGCACTGTCTGGCATGAGAAAAGCGTATCTCTTCCCCCAAATCACCCACAGCCAGTCTCAGTCAACATGTAACAAATTTACAGAGGATCTGTCCTTACTAAAAAGGCTGATTCCTCACCCTCCCATTTATTCTCAGTCCCCAAACTGTCATCCTAAGTTTACAACGTAGGAATTAACAAGAGACATTATGCTCCTCTACCCGCAAAGTTTTGCAAAACCATTGGCTTCAATCCTGGAAGCTGACATAGCTCTCACCATATTTTAAAAGAAACAAAGTAAGGGAGGGATGGAGGAACATAAGGTCATGGGGGGTCATGTCCGAGAAGGCTGGACAAGACACTGGCCAGAACATTAATGTGAGTCAAACCAACCACTGTAAAAATCATCTGCCCAAACCTCACATTTTATAGTATTGAACCCAACGCTACGCAGGTACCCTACTCTTGAGTAACAAATTTCCCCCACATACTTGTAAATGGTTTGAAACCTCCTGTGACTCTGCTACTGTAACTTCATGATGGGTAACTGCTGTAGGAAGCTTACACCATGGCTACTGCCACAAAATGAATAAAAACAAATATCACTGATAATTACTCAAAATTTCATTAACAAACATGCAAATATTGACAAATGTCTGAATTTTCATTAACAACATTCAAATACTCATTGGCAAATATTCAGGTTTTCATTAACAAACATTAAAACTTTCATTGACAAATATATAAATACCCAGTGCTCTTGACACATCTCAAGTCATAGTGCTAACCCATCTCCAGCAGAGGCTGCACAAGCACATGGTCCACTTTTGAGGTACGTCTCCAAAGCATCATCACAATACAGAGACATAGCCAAGCACTTCACTTCAGAGACTAGGCAAGGTATTCTAGATATAGGGAATTTTAGCTTGAAAACTTCAACTACAATAAACTTCAAAGTTCTTAGTGTTTTCCTTATCTGCTCACGATTACAAACAAAACACTTACCAACCAGGACAACAAGCCTGTATTTCTCATGAGCCTGCCGCCGATATGGTGTCACTTCTTCGTATGTAGGCACGTCTGCTGTGTCGTACTGGTCACTCTTCTTGCATTCATACATAGACTTGTTTGTCTTCTTATCTTTCCTGCTAAGACGGAAACTTCTTCTAAAACCAGCTACAAATAAAAATAAAAAAAATTAGACATATATACCTTTAGAAACTGTTTAGTGTATTTCAAACTAAAAAATTAAAGCCCTGAAGCCAAATATTGAACCCCTTCTATATCAGCTCCTCAACAATATAAAATAAAATTCAAGTATCCTGTAAATGTCCAAAAGTACATTTGCTTTAAAAAGAATACTGAGGGCTGGAGAGACAGTGCCTGCTCAGGCAAGTTCCATCTAGAACCTTCATAGGAGAACGAGAGAACTGACTGGCTCAGCTGTCCTCTGACTCCACAGGCAGGCAATGGCACGTGCACATCCACACATATCCACACACATGCACACAAAAGAAACAAAATGTAATAAAAATTAAAAATAAAAGGTACTAAATTGGGTGAGTAGAGTACTTTTAGAGTTTTTCTACAAGGTATAAAAATGAAACAACGTATGTATGGATTTGGGGGACTACATAGGAAGTGAGTAATTATTCCTTTGGGTTTGAAAAAAGGAAAAGAAAAAAGAAAGGCGATACTAAAGTAACAGCAGTCAGGGCCAGGAACCTTCCTCAGTTGGTTGAGTACTTGCCTGGCATGCAGAATGCTCTGGGTTAGATGCCTAGCACAGCACTGCACAAAATAGGCTCGGTGCTACACATGTGTAATTCCAGCAGCCGGGAGGTAGAGGCGGAAGGGCCAGACATCCAGTAATCCTTGGCCATACAGTGAGTTTGAGGCCAGCCTGGGTTACATGGAACCAAGTCTCAAAAAGAGAAAAGCAACAGTGAATGAGGAAATATGGAGCTAACTGAGACGCCTTATGGAGTCAGTTCAATTAAAGGAAAATCAGCAGATACTTCTGCAATGGCCACTGAACTCACGTTTTAACAAGAAAAATTTGAATTGGCAAAGAACGAATGGATTGATAAAAGTCACTCTGTAACTCTCTAAAACTAACCCTGGTTTTGAGGCAATCCTGGGTTATTCGGGAGTTCGGAAAGGTTACTTACAAAGGACTTCATACAAGGAAATCTCAGCACAGCCCCTTAAAGGTAAAGAGGAGTGAACAGACCAGTCCTGAAATCCACTGGTGTCTCATAGAAAGAGTGAAATACAAGTTAGGTGGAGGGCAGCATGCCACCCTGGACCCAGTGGGGGGAAAGCATGTGAATTCTAAAGCCACATGGGAGAGCATTCAGCATTCTATGAGGGGCTCAAGGGAAAAGCCGTAGGTGACCCTCTGCTCCTCTCTTCCCAGGACACTGAGGAAGTAGTAGCACCTGGTCCTCCAAGCATCCGTTCACTAGCTCTATCTTCCTAACAGCATGCTACAGCGAGCCTGAATGCTTACCATGTACCCCGGTGTTAGCACAGTAGTCTCAGACCACAGTATCTGCCTAAGCTGGCATTATCTACCTATCGATGCCCCCAACTCTGTCATCAGTGACGAGATTTGTGATTGGTTATCCTGGCTTTAACAAGTGGGATGCTGGCAATCCCATCCCTTCACCGTTCTTTCTGGTACGGAAGTCACTATAAATTCTGAGTACAAGGATCATCGAACACAAATGAAGTTCCACGGCTAAAATAGTAGAGAATTCTGATCTGCAAATTCAGTTGAACCCTGACCTCTGAGAGACTGCTTACCTAGCTGGATCTTTACAGGCTGTTGATGTTTGTTTTTACTCCCACTATAATCAGAAAAGTGAGGGCAATGGAGGGAAGGAGACAATCATATTTCTAAAGTAAGACTGTGAAAAATATAGGAGCCATGCTCCACGGGATGGTGGTGGCACCTGCTCTGTGGGGCTTCGCATAGAAAATGTACTTAAGAATTTACCATATTGAAGTTTAAAACATAGCAGCACAAACTACAAACACACACCGTGTTTCACTTTGTAAATGTCAGCTAAGAAACCAGGGGACTTTAAAGCAGACCTGAAGTTGGACAGGACTTTGTACAGCACAGGTCTTAGAGCTAGTGGGACAGCAGAGGGCACAGGCTGGTGTCCGTTACCCTGGAATTCAGCCCCACCTCCAGCTTTTCAGAAGCCATGTCCTGGAACAGGCTCACCCAAGAAACTGCCTTTACAGAACACAGGAAGAAAAGTGGTCAGGTGCCCACGGAGTTCTGGAGAGCAGGTGCCCACGGAGTTCCAGAGAGAGGAAGCCACACACTTCCGGAGAGCAGATCCACCAAGACTTGAGTTGGAAAGGGAGGGACACACAGGAAGCACTGCCTGCCATACTGGCCGTGTATCTCTGCAGTTCCAGGAATCTTCTAAGACTCATTTTCTGTAGCTTGAAACATGGGTAACAGCAGCATCTCCCTCCCAGGGTGGCAAAGGACAGGCTTGGCCCACAGCAAAGCCTTCTCCATGTCTCTTACAGATCCATGCTGTATTGTGTGTCTCCCACTATCTGACTGGGCCTTTAGGGCAAGCATGTGGATACCCACAGCACAGACTCTCTCAAAAAGGAGAAAAGCACATTTGGAGGCTCATTAATCAATTTGAAATGGGCTCTCATAAAAGAGGAAAAAAAAAAAAAAAAGCAAAATGAAAGCCAGATTTAAATATACGAATTGGGGCTGGGGTTTTACTGTGTAACATAGCACGTGGCTTTCATGAGGCCTTGGGTTCCCCATCTACAGTGCTACAATTCATAAACAATTATTTTAAATGCCAAACTGACTAGTCATTTTGAAAAAGCACAATAGAAAGGCTTAGTATGTAGGAACTTTTTTCTTTTACTTATTTCTCCACATCATAAAGGTTTATGTATGATTTACACAGCCACTTTATGTATATATACTCATATCATATACATACCCACACACACTTGTTAACATATTCATGTACAGGAAACAGGAAGAAAATTTCTCAGCTCAGAATCAACAGTTAACAGGCTGTGAAATCTAATGTTGTTATTGTAATCTTTTTTCAGACAAAACCAAACCCACACACAGTCAAGACACACACCCAAACCAACACACACGCACACACACACACACACATATTTCCCTAGAATCTGTCCCTCCAAGGCCACAGCTTGTAGTTCCCCACCTCCAGTTGGAAACAAGTGACTGTGCCTGTCTGTCCCATGGCTGAGTCTCCAAGAGACTGTTACATCAAGGAAAGGGAGTTGGTTAAGAACTTCTTGACTTTGAATTTTTCTTGGTTTTCTTACTAACATGAGCTTAACTATCATGAAACTAAACTGAAAGGAAGCAGGGGTTCTCCTCAGAGGAGCGCTGGTAACAAAGGCATCATAAGTCAGCAGTTGGTACCATGGCTCAGCAGGGTGGCTTTGGGAGCAGAGGGGGAGGAACTATCAAGGAATTGAGGGTAAGGGAATAAATAGCCTCACATGAAATGTATTTTCCTTAAAGTTCATATTTTTTGTAATTTATAACATGCTCAACATTTTTATGGACAGGTTTGTTTCCAGGGAAGCTTATCCACAGCTGCTAGAAATCTGCGTCTTTGAAAGGAACAACGGGTTTTATTACAATAGGAAAGTGACATCAGAGTAGGATGCAGCTGCGAGACAGGGCTTATCTAATACTTGCAGTAGTGACAATTCACAGTAACCTGCCAATTTATCATCTGACTCTACAGCTCTGCTAAGGCATTGACTATGAAGGGGCGACTATAAAGAAAGCTGCCTGTTATCTGAAACAGCTACTCCATATCCCTAGTCCAGCTGTATGCATCAGCTGTATGCATCATCTGTGATCCCTGAGGCAGGCTATGCTGCTGGAAGCCAGGCTCTTCTCACCCAGGACTCCTCTGATGGACTAATAACAAGGCCTGTTGGCAACTGCTTCTTTACCTTCCTCCCACAACGGTGTCTCACTGCTTCTTCAAACCCTTCAATAGTGCGGCCAATGTAAATACCCACATCACTGTTATTAAAGGGGGCAGTGGGATCCAACATTTCACATCATTACTCTTTTCCCTGCCCCCTTCTTTCCGTCATTGCCTAGTTAGTGCTCACTAATGAAGCCGAGTCAGCCCTTCCGTCGTCATATACACATGTAAATGTCAAGCACACATATAAATGTCATATAGTCATGTAAATGTCATACACACATGTAAATGTCAGCAAACCGATGAACCTTCTACCCAAAGATGAACCGATTTTAAAGAAGTCCTAAATCGTGTGTGTTGGAATCAGTAATATGTTGTTTTTGATTTCTACCACTGTTTAAAGGAATCCGCTCCTCCTATGTTTGACAAATATTCTCCTGCATTCTTCTCAATTTTAAGAAGTGGGACTCATGGTTTTATAATTCATTTTTTTTGCTTTCTTTTTTAAATCCATCTGGAACCACTCAGATGTAATCATGTTATCAGGCCTGTGAAGTGTGGCTGTAACTTTTTACTTTTCTAAATAACTAACTAATGGTTCTAAAAAATAAAAAAATCCTGAAGGAGAAGGACCCCTATACAACTTCATACTGACACACATGTGCAGAGGGCAGAGGTGTTACACTGTTTCTGTCTTGATTTGAAGGCGCTCACTTTCTGTTTAGTGTCCCCATCAAAGCACACTCTCAATGGTGGCAGGATGGCTTTGCTGGGAACTCACCAGGTGACAGGCATCACTCAAAGCACCTGATGTGCTTCATTTATTCAGTCCCTCAGCAACCACTCCCTTCCCCTTCCCCATAACAGAAAGTGACAGGCAAAGCCTGGCTCTAGTACTCCACAATGAAATGAGATCACAGAGTGAGAAACACCACCTTACTTTCAGCTGTGGAACAGGGAAAATGACAAGCCCCTCTTACAATTTAACAGAAAGAAACTGTCAAAGAAAAAATCAGTTTAAGGTATGGATTAAAAGGTTATTTTTCCTAATAGGCTCCCCCCCCTTTTTTCAAATTAAACAAGTATTTATGCCTCATTATGTTCAAGGTGAGTTGTAAAGCACAAAAATTACAAAACTGTGTCACTGGCCTCAAGAAGTACTCATCCTCCAGGGACACAAAAGGCTATTCTTACATATTATAA